TTCCTTGAGTTTGATTATTTTCATTCAGGACTCTCAAAGGTCTTACTCTTTTTACCTAATAGCTCTGTTAACTTAAAATCCTTTTTCAATTAGCTTTTAAGATTATTCAATACCAAGGTAAGAAAGAAATTCTTATTGTATTTTCCAACAAGAGTCAGGGTCAGATAATATCATTATAAAACATCACACCCACTGTAAAAAGGGCTGCAAAACAGATTTAATTTAAATCCTACTATGCCAGTAATTCTAGTCCTGCTTTATGCATCTTTATTTTCTTACCACATTTAATGACTCAGCACCAAAGCCTTGTTTTAAAAATTCTTTTTCTTTCTAGAAAGAAAACTTATACAATTCCATTTGCCTTTTCAGTGAAACTCTAAAGTGTGTCTTGCCTATCAGAACTTATTCTCCCTGGCCCCAGATGAAATGATCAGTACTGTTTCTCCAGGGGGCAGGTGCCTCGGAGGAATTTTTTTACCATCATATCAAGGGATCAGTTATTTTAATCAAAGGTTGGCTGATCCTTCCAGAGAACCCAGTGGAAAAAAACTTAATAAATAGTTTTCCCTCTTAAGACTAGATATTAACTATCTAAAACATAATTAACAACAGGATGCCAGTCAACGAGTGTACTTTTTACTTCTGGTCTAGGGAGTTTAGGTGTCTTCAGTCTAATAGGGGTCATGGTGCTAGTTATCAAATTGACAGCCTTAACCTGACCTTCTAAAAGTGGCTGTAAAATGATGCCCAGTAAATTAAGATAAATGCCAAATTCCTCTTAGGAAACAGGCCTGTATCATGACTGTGAAATGGGTGTGCGGGTTTGAGGCCAAGATTTCACAATAAGTATATAAATACCAGCCTGGGCAGGAGGGCAGACGAGCGCTCAGTTATTGTACACACAAGAGCACAGTGACTCACTTCACTCAGCATTACGCTTGGCTGGAGATTTTAAATTCCTTTTTAAAAACAAGACGATTGTACCACAGGGTAAAGATTTTATTATCCTCAATAATGGGATTGAATATGCCAAGGCAGAGAAGCAGAAAATGAGATCTGCAGATCCTAGTGCCAAGACAGGAGTGAGAGAAAGCCACAACAGGTCACTTTGCGAGGCAGGGGGAGCTTTTCAATGTTGCAGTGGCCTAGAAACCCAGGGAAGCCCCTCTGGGAAATGTCTGGCTCCCACCAAGAGAGGTGAGAGAAGTTAAACTAGATCTAGTTGCAGGCAGCAAAGTCAAACAGGAGCACTTACTGTAAGTCTGCTGTTGCAGGGTTACTGGAATACTAACCAAGGAGGAAGGGCATCAAGTAGTTCGGGAGAGAGGTTACTGATCCGGCCCTGGCCCTCAGAGTCCATTGCCAAGTAGTGTAAAGAAGCCAGCAGTCACCACTAGCTTGAGACATCATCCAACCCAAATGGAGCCAACAGGTCCCTGAAGACCAGAGACAAGCCATAAACCTTCAACCTGAATTCATTTTTATCCACTGCAGGAAGAGTTCCCGTGAATCTCGTTCCTTCTTCCATCCTTCCTGTTCACACAAACTTGTCCCTTCTTATTTTGTTCCCCTCTGTTTCTCAGATTTATTGCATCCTGCATTGATTCTTGGAGAAGAAGGAAAAAAAAGAGGCTGTGATTTAGTTCTTGTCAAGGCTCAGATTAAATATAGCGCTTCTTTCTCCCTAAAGCCTTCCACTTGGCCAAACTTAAATGAGGTGATGAGACACTAACTCAGACCCCTCTGCCCACTGCCTTCTGCTGTGCTAACCTGCAGCCTTGTGGGGATGACAAGCCAAATGCTGAGTGGCCAGGCATCCTCTCTGGAGTGTTCCACCAACCAAATACTCTGCAAACTGCAGCCACAGCCCTAAACCATCAGTGTGCATAAGCCCCAAGAGACACAGGTGCAAGTCTACTCAGATCTCTTAGGCAAAAGTCCACCCAGCTTTCTTCAGCCAGAAGGAAGCATGAAGATCTTAGCTCCTGTATCTGCCCTCCTTCCCTTAACATGTCTGACTCACCAAAACACAAGCCTCTCTCTCCACAGGAGAAATCACTGACATTGGCCTGTCACCGCTAGGATGGGTTACATTTCCTTTGACCCAGTTGTTCCCCAGGACCAAGTCGGTTCCCCTCTTTAGAAACCTTAGTCTTTTAAACTTTTGATCTGGTCTTTTTCTGCCCCCTCAGGTCATGGATTATATGGGACTTTTGAAATGTTATCCTCCTGGAGGAAAACTAGAGAAGACCAACATGTTAAAGAGAGAACTGCAGCAGTCTATGCAGACTCCATGCTCTCCTTTTCTCTCACCACTGCCATGTACCTGGTCACCTTCGGCATAGGGGCCAGCCCTTTCACGAACATTGAGGCAGCCAGGATTTTCTGCTGCAATTCCTGTATCGCAATTTTCTTCAACTACCTCTATGTACTCTCGTTTTATGGTTCCAGCCTGGTATTCACTGGCTACATAGAAAACAATTACCAGCATAGTATCTTCTGTAGGAAAGTCCCAAAGCCTGAGGCATTGCAGGAGAAGCCGGCATGGTACAGGTTTCTCCTGACGGCCAGGTTCAGCGAGGACACTGCGGACGGTGAGGAAGCGAACACTTACGAGAGTCACCTATTGGTATGTTTCCTCAAACGCTATTACTGTGACTGGATAACCAACACCTATGTCAAGCCTTTTGTAGTTCTCTTTTACCTTATTTATATTTCCTTTGCCTTAATGGGCTATCTGCAGGTCAGTGAAGGGTCAGACCTTAGTAACATCGTAGCGACGGCGACGCAAACCATTGAGTACACTACTGCCCAGCAAAAGTACTTTAGCAACTACAGTCCGGTGATTGGGTTTTACATATACGAGTCTATAGAATACTGGAACACTAGTGTCCAAGAAGACGTGCTAGAATACACCAAGGGGTTTGTGCGAATATCCTGGTTTGAGAGCTACTTAAATTACCTTCGGAAACTCAATGTGTCCACTGGCTTGCCTAAGAAAAACTTCACAGACATGTTGAGAAATTCCTTCCTGAAAGCCCCCCAATTTTCCCATTTTCAAGAGGACATAATCTTCTCTAAAAAGTATAATGATGAGGTTGACGTAGTGGCCTCCAGAATGTTCTTGGTGGCCAAGACCATGGAAACGAACAGAGAAGAACTCTATGATCTCCTGGAGACCCTGAGGAGACTTTCTGTCACCTCCAAGGTGAAGTTCATTGTCTTCAACCCGTCCTTCGTGTACATGGATCGATATGCCTCCTCCCTGGGAGCCCCCCTGCACAACTCCTGCATCAGTGCTTTGTTCCTGCTCTTCTTCTCGGCATTCCTGGTGGCAGACTCTCTGATTAATGTCTGGCTCACTCTAACGGTTGTGTCCGTGGAGTTTGGAGTTATAGGTTTCATGACATTATGGAAAGTGCAACTGGACTGCATTTCCGTGCTATGCTTAATATATGGAATTAACTATACAATTGACAACTGTGCTCCACTCTTATCCACCTTTGTTCTGGGCAAGGATTTCACAAGAACAAAGTGGGTAAAAAATGCCCTGGAAGTGCATGGGGTAGCAATTTTACAGAGTTACCTCTGCTATCTTGTTGGTCTGATTCCTCTTGCAGCTGTGCCTTCAAATCTGACCTGTACACTGTTCAGGTGCTTGTTTTTAATAGCGTTGGTCACCTTCTTTCACTGCTTTGCCATTTTACCTGTGATACTGACTTTCCTGCCACCCTCTAAGAAAAAAAGGAAAGAGAAGAAAAATCCTGAAAACCGGGAGGAAATTGAGTGTGTCGAAATGGTGGATATCGATAGCACCCGAGTGGTTGACCAAATTACAACAGTGTGAGGGCATCTGCTTGTTACAGTTTCACCCTAGGTCTTATCAAGAGCAAAGGGATGATGTTCATGGCAACACATTTAAAGTTGTTTTTTGGTTTTTAAGGATAAGAAACAGGCATTGCCAAAAACAGTAAAGGACTAGGGGAAATGGGGAAATTGTCAACCTTTAAAACAAAAGGTTGTCATCAGAGAAAATTTACACACACACACCCTAGGAGACTCATAGTCTCTTAAACTAAGTTCAAATAAGAGAAAGCTTATTAGCAAGCAGAATCCTATTTTATTCACACTGCAGATGTTGCTGGTATGGTGACAAAAACCTTCTGATTGAAAGGTCAGCTGCCAAGGCAGAAATAGCTTTGAGCACTGTTCAAACAATAAGGCTTCCAGAACTTTTGCAAAGCAGTAGCTCCAAGCAGGGTCTATGGTTTAAGGTCTTCACCATATCATCTAGCTCCCCAACACCCCAAGGAGATGCTTGTGAAAGTTCTGGCCAGCAAAAGCAGCCAGAACCTCAGAAACTGGCATGCAGTGGAATGGCCATCACCCATGGGCTGAAACTGAGTCACCTCTAAAGTCACCCGGGTGAGGCAGTTTTCTTGTCAAGAGTTAATTTATCATACCCCCCGCCTACGCACCCACCATCAATACACTTTTAATGTTTGTATGATTTGGTTAATATACCTTTAAACCAGTGACAGCTTCAGTAATGCAAAGTTAAGGCGAGTCTATTTTGGAATATTTTGTCGCTTGTCACCAAATGGATCTGCAATAGTAATTGCAGCTTTTGGCAGGAGGCTCTGAGTATCCAGAACCACAGAGCCAAACCCAAATACCTGGCATGATGGAGAAAAAGCAGGTGTCTAACTGAACCCAGAGATAGTGTTTCCATTTTAACAACAAAAAAATGGCCAGCTGGTACAGCTGTTTGTGGTTTGGCCCTACATGCATTTTTTGCATGGATGCCCAGAAACAACATCTGCCCATGCATAGCTGAGGAAGGAAAAGTTATCGGCCACAGCTTGCCACTTGTAGTGCCAGTCTGCCTTTGCTCAGGAGACCTGCCTGCTCAGAGACACAGAGAAGAAAAGTCCTGAAACTTTGTAAGTCCTGAAACTGAGAACTTCAGGCAAAGACACAAAGGGCTGAAAATGACATAAATGGAACTGATGGGAAGATGTAATCACCAATATAAGTCTATCAATGATGACAGTCAAGCTTTCCTGCTCACCCGGCTGCACTTTAATCCTCCTGGCCCCCCTACACCTTCGTTGGTGCCCCCTCTCCTTCCGTGCACGGCCTTTCTGTACATTATCAAGCCTAGATGTTTATACTGTGGGCTTGCGGTATCTACAGGATCTAAACAGAAATGGTTTGATCTGAAGAGGCTGTGTATGTCACCCCAGATCCCTGCATTTCTTTCAGTCTATAAAAATGAAGCTAAAACCTGGTCACACTTGAGGCAAATGTCTACAGTATTTTTCCCTTTTAGAGATGTAGCTTATTTAGACATCTGTAGTGATAAGCATTTCCCCAAAGCACCTTGCCTTTCTGGACCTTAGCGGACGTACTGTGCAACTTCCCCATCCCTGCAGAGGAGGAAACTGAGACCTAGGAGAATAAAGCGACTCACCCAGGGTCACACCACTGGAGGGTTTCCATCATTTCAGCATGCCTAAGACAGGGCAGGCCAATTTTAGATCTTCTCATAAGAGGGCTATTACTCCCTTCAAAGTACATTTCCAAGGAAGAAACTTAGGACTTATTGGCCACAAGGCAGACTTTTTTTTTTAATGTCTGGGTAATGTTTGGGATTTAGGTTTACCATTGTCTTTCCAGACAGCAAAAATCCCCAAATGATTCAGATGTAACTACACCAAGTGCAAACCTGTGCTTTCTATTTCATGTACTGTTGTTCACACAGTTCTAAATATATGTGCAGGGGATCATAGCTAGTGCATTACACACTTGTTCAATCTCTCCTGCAAACACACTAAGTGATCATACCAACGTGTTATGCACTCAACTAGAAGATAATGAGCTTTAATCTAAGGACAAATGCAATCCTCGAAAAAGGGCAAGTTCTCATAATAGATCTGCGATCAATTCTCTCTCCAAGGGGCCTGCAACTAGGCAGTTACTGATAAAACACAGCTGAAGAGGGGATTGGTTTTATTCCTAAATCATATGTTGCTAAATCATTTTCTGAAAAACATGTTCTAAATCAGCCATTGGTTTAGTGTTGGCCACGTGGAGTACCTTGGGTTACAGTGACTCCATAAAGTTGATACAACACACACACCAATTAAGTGGATTTTGTTTAGAATTTAAGCATTAATTGGGTCAGCCAGAATGACTTACTGTGGAACTTTATTTTATGACAGATAGTAGTTTTCCAACTTGACTGGGTCTCTGTATACCATGGGATATTGTATTTTTAAATGAAGGGCATTTTAAAACTTGTCAACTTCTCTTTTCAGCACTTGAAATCAAAGCTTATGGAATTCTGACTGTGGAGAGAATGAATTATTTTTACTGGGGGATTCTGCATGCCAAGATTTACTACTTATTATTTATTGTGAGATAATTATTTATTTATTAATATTGATTATTAATAATTGCTCCAATAACATTGGTTTAGCCCCACCATGGATAAGACACTTTAGAAATAGCTCAGAATCACATCTCCTGCAAATTTAAGTCCTTACTTCATGAAGTTTTACTTTTACAATTGCTATCAAGAGGGAGGGAATGATCCTAGCAAACACTTGCAAAAGTTTTCTTTTTCAATTAATTCCAACCAAGACATTAATGTTCACTTTACCAAAGAAACTGATTTGGTTGGTTTTGAGTTGCTATTTATTGTTTGTTTACCAAAGAAAATATTCCATCCATCAGAAATATTTCTTCTGCTCAACTAAAAGAAAAAAACTGTGATACTTGGGCTTTCTTGGCCATTCATAAGGAAAAAAAGAAAAATCAGGGTAAGGGTGATATTCTTTCAATGAGTGAAACAGCAGAAGACGTAAATTCACAAGAAACTTGGGGTTTGCAAGAAAGAAAATGATACTTGAAATAGCGCGTTATTGTTAGTCCTATAGCAATGGCCCAGCAAACAACATGAGGCTCCTCAGGCTAAAAAGAGTTTATCTGTTCCACAGGGGAAAAAATGATAAATGTCAATGAAATTCCTTCTCCACTGTTCCAGCTCATAAGTTTTGTTTTGGGTTTGGGAGTTTGGGGATTTTAAGATTTGGGGGGGTTGTTTTGCTTTGGTTGTGATGTTTGTGTTAGCTTGTTTTCCTCCTGCCTGTCCTACCGTTTTTATTCCCTCAATTTTCAGGCAGAAGTGAGATAATCCCATCTGATGCCATCCTCCATGGCTACAGTTACTTATGCAATATGCTGCTCTGAGCAAGGCCCTTGATAACTCTTTTATTTTAACTGACCACCACCCAACTGTTCTAAGTGGCATTCTGGGACCATGACATCACTTTCCTCCAGCCCCAGCAATGAAGCGTGGCTGTGTCTATCTCAAGAACAGGTGGACTGGGCAGCCGCCCTGGGGGGTGTGGTGTGAGGCAGAGCCTCTTGGACACAAATGATATCCTCCTCCAAATGGCTTTTTATTCCTTCGGATCCTATTAAAGCAGCCCTGCAGCTTATAGTAGTGTTTGATTTCTGTGAATCTGTTTTCTCATTTGTAAAATGGCGATAATACAGTAACTATCTTTCAATGCATCAAATACTTACTGAGTGCCTAATATCACCCAGGTACTGTTCTGGAGACTGTGGACAGCAGTGAACTAATGATACTGTTAAAAAATCTGCCCTCAAGAATGTACATTTGAGTGATGTTGCAGATTTGCTGAAAGGATTAAATGAGAAGGTGTTCAGAAAGCACTTGTGGCAAGGCCTGGTGTAAAGAAGGAACTCAAGACATTATTATTTGTAATTTGTCCATTCCACACAGTAGCACTTGAGCTCAGGATGTAAAGCTACAGAGAAGTAGATTTCTGTAGGCTTGAGCCCAGGATTAGGGCTATATAAAAATGCAATGAATTGTCCTGGTCATTTTAAGACATTCAGAATTTGGCTAGATCATCACTTAGTAAGGTGAGTGGGAAAGGGGCACAGGCTCTAGATGGTGGAGTTGGATGGTAATCCTTGAAAGAAAGAGGTACAGGCAGTCGGGGATGGAGTGGGCGGGGGCACATATTTCATTACTGTGCCTGGCTTGTCTGAAGACACTCCTTTACGGTAATTTGCTTTTGAGTCTCAGCTACATAAAAAGCATCAGGTATTTGAAGACAAAGTTCCCATTTTCCACACGGAAGGAAAAGAGTAAATTAGTACTACTGGATTCTCTGGCAAAGAACTGAGAACTGCTTCAGCCAACACATTGCAGAGTTCCTCCCTGTGGTGGTTACAACTGTTTATTTCTGTTTCATGCCACTCCAGGAGAAAGCAAAGAGGAAAGTGAATGAGCTAAAATCCATTCACCTGAAGAGGCAGTGTCAGGATGTCCTCCCCAGCCTGTTTCTCACCTGCCCCACTGCTGCCCAGGTGATGTGTTTGAAGTCCTCTTTGATATCTGTGAGGGCACCATGCAAGCAAGACGAAGTGAGGGAGCAGAGATCTCTGGCCTGTGTGTCGATCTTCAGGTTAGATTAAAATTAGCACGGCAAAGGTTTGGAGGAGCCGATCTGGAGAAAGAAGGCTTCTTTTCAAAGTACAAAGAAAGCAATGTGCACCAAGGAGGCAACCAATGAAGGGCCCTTGGTGGATGGAATGCTGTTGCTGTGGGATGCACCAGACTCTCCTCCCTCCAAAATGTTGACATGAGATGAACCTTTGGAGAGAATCAAGCTTACTCTCCTGTTTTTCACTTAAGAAAATGGAAACCTGGAAAAGTGAAATGACATGCACAGAGCTAGTTAGAAGCAGATACAGGGCTGTGACTGCAGTCTCCTAGTTCCTAGCCTCACTCCTTTCTCCACTCTGCCACTTTACTGCCAAATTCTGTATGTCTATATCATGGGGTCTTCACCTGGGGCCATGGGTAAGTTGGTGGGAGGGTGGACTCTGCACTCCCTAAAGTTAAATTATATGCAAAAATGTGTGTATATGTTCCCTATGTGCATTTTCCTAAAGAGAGTTCATAGTTGTCATCAGATTTCAGAAGAGGTCTATGACCCAAAAAGAGTGAAGAACCACGGTCCTAAATTAATAAAGACCTCACTGGGGGTGTCATCCTGGTGTCCTCATTTTGGCTAATGGGCAATCAAGAATTTCTCAACCATCTTTTCTCCAGGGAGCCAAAACTGCTTCTAGGTATTGGTCTCTTCATGCCCAGCGAAGTGCCTATCACTACTCCTTTTTTCTTCATCCATCCATTCATTTAATCTGCATACATTTTCATTGTCCAATTCATGTTCCAGCACCAGTTAAACACACTCCAGGGCAAGACAGGTAAAGGACCCCTCTGCATCATGCTCTTATTGGCAGAAAGAATACATGTGGACATGGTAGAAGAAAGAGCTGAGCAAACTATTTCCAAGCTTCCTAGGTCTACGCTTGTGGCAGCAGCATGCCACAACCTTGAAGGGCTGCTCCCAAGTGATCCCTATTCAAGATAGGGAGAGAATGTGTCTCATTCATCTTGGAGATATTTGCAGTGAACAAACAGGAAATCACGGCCATGGACATATGGTTCCACTTAAGGACAGGTGTATGTGCAAATTGAAGCTCAGTTCTCTTGACTGTCAACCATAAGTTAGATGTAGTGGCCATTGATGGAGCAAGCTGAAGAATAAATGGCTCTACTTGTACTGTTTGTTGTGCTTCTTCTGGAACAATTTTAGGCACAGCAGAATGCAGCTGGGTTGTCCAAAGGACCAGGCTGGGGAAACACTGCTTGGCCCTCCCTGAAGTAGAGAGGTGGCACTGGTGACATTTACACAGTCCTCTGTCCAGCCATGACAAAGGAAGTCTTCTCATGAGGGGGAAGAATATGAGCCCCACCTTGTAGCATGTGATTTGAAGCCTGAAGACTTTGCTCACTGAGCTCTATAAAATGCTTTGTTTAATACCTACAAAATGGCAAAGATTCAGCCCATTTCCATTACCTATTCCAGGTTCATCCTGGGGAAAACCCATAGGATTCTCTTTGGCAAAACAATGTATTTAATTTCCAGGGTGAAACTTCAACATGTTTGGCTCAGACTTTCATATCTTTAGTCTCCAAATTAACATTCTGCCAAAATTGCCCTTGCCCCCTTCTAGAATCACCAAGGCAGATTCCTCCTGCCTCCCAGGACCACAGGTGACTGGTCAAAATTGGTAATGACCCATTAGCACCACTAGACACACAAACAGTGCATGTACACTCACAACTATAACACATGTACAAACATAAATGCATAGATACATACATGCATGCACTTTGCCTTTCACATGCACACTGCCTTTCACAACATACCTGACACATTTGAGGCACATTAAAATGCCTTAGTAGGCCCAGTCCTGTGGTTCTGTGGGGTCTGGCAAGCCAAAGGCTTCA